ACAAGCCCAAGGCCTTTACTGCAACCAAACATCCTCTACCCTCTCATCTTTCTCATGACTTTGTTCCTACTACATATCTTCAGGCCTCTAAATATCCCCACTGGCTTAAAGCTATGCAGGATGAGTTTCTTGCACTGCAGCAAACTGGAACCTGGACTTTGGTTCCTCCTTCTCCCTCCACCAATGTTGTCGGCTGCAAGTGGGTTTTCCGAATCAAAAGGAAACCCGATGGTACTATTGACAGATACAAGGCCCGTCTTGTTGCCAAAGGCTTCCACCAGCAGGCCGGCTTGGATTATACAGAGACATTTAGTCTGGTTGCTAAACCGGTCACAATTCGGATTCTCCTCACTTTGGCAGCTCAATTTGATTGGTTTCTCAATCAGCTTGATGTCAGCAATGCATTTTTGCATGGTACTCTCTCTGAACAGGTGTTTATGCAACAACCACCAGGTTTTGAAGACTCTAATCATCCTCATCACATTTGCCATCTCCGCAAGTCTCTCTATGGTCTCAAACAAGCTCCTCGAGCTTGGTATGAAAAACTTCATGGTGCACTTCTCTCTTTGGGATTTACTGGTTCTCAATCCGATCACTCCTTGTTTGTCAAGACTGATCCCATGGTGTTCGTCTTAGTCTATGTTGATGACATTATTGTCACTGGCCCATCTCCTTCTGCTTGTCAACAAGTCATTACTCGGCTTAGCTCTCTGTTTCCTATCAAGGATCTCGGTCCACTTCACTATTTTCTTGGTATTGAGGTGAAACGGTCATCTAAGGGTATTTCCATCTCCCAAACCAAATATATACTGGACTTGCTTAAGAAAGCTCACATGGATGGTGCCAAACCTTGTGCTACTCCTCTGAGTACATCAAAGCTTGATCATTCTTCCCCTTTACTGGACAATGCTGCTCACTACAGATCTCTTGTCGGAGCCCTTCAATACTTAACTTGGACTCGGCCTGATCTCTCCTTTGCTGTGAATTTGGTCTGCCAATATATGCATAGTCCCCGCCATTCCCATTTTTAGGCTGTTAAATGGATCTTCAGGTATCTTAAAGGCTCTCTTGATTTAGGATTATGGTTTCCAAAATGTTCCTCTTCTCCATCCATTACTGCCTTCTCTGATGCCGATTGGGCAGGTTGTCCTCTTGACCGAAAGTCTACTGGTGGTTTCTGCATTTTTCTTGGCTCTTCTCTGATTAGTTGGAGCGCTAAAAAGCAACCTACTGTTGCTCGCTCATCCACGGAGGCTGAGTATCGGTCTCTTGCCAATACTGCTGCTGAACTCACTTGGATTTGCAAACTTCTAGTGGATCTTGCTTACCAATCTCCTTCTATTCCCCACCTGTGGTGTGATAATGTCTCTGCTCTTTCTCTGGTCAAAAATCCTTTGTTCCATGCTCGTACCAAGCATGTTGAGCTTGATTACCATTACATTCGTGAAAAGGTTTTAGCTCGCGAAGTTTCTGTTCACTATATTTGCACCCAACAACAGATTGCAGATATTTGTACCAAGGCTCTTGCTAAGGATCGGTTTCATTCTCTCCGCAACAAACTCTCCCTTCGATCTCCTCCGCTCAGTTTGAGGGGGGATATTAAGGATACTTATGTAAATGAAACTATTAGTTAATACTTAGAAATGTAATTCAATATTTGATATTTGTTAATCAGGTTAAATGTGTAATTAGTTAGTTGGAGTAGCTGATGGTGACAGTTGTAAATGAGTTGTATATATACAACTATCATGTAACTTTATTAGGTTGGTAAATGAAAAGTTATTCTTTTCTAACACTGGGCTCCCAGAATTCAATTCAATTCAAAAACACTCAATGGAACCAACTATAATAAGTGGAGACAAGACATTGAAATAGCCCTAAGACTTATGGATTTCGATTTAGCTTTATGGGAAAAGGAACCTGCCAAGCCTGCAGATGATGCACCTGCTGACAAAAAGAATGAGTATGAGACGTGGATTAAGGCAAATAGGAAGGCGTTGTTGGTGATCAAGAGGTCAATGTCTGACCTTGTTCGAGGAGCCATCACTGAGTCTGATAATGCTAAAGCATACCATGATTCCATTGAAGTCAAATTTAAGGAATCTAAGAATGGAATCCTAATGAACACCCTGAATACTACTAAGTAAATTGGTGATGATGTAAGAGAACACATCCTTTCCATGGTTGATGTGGTTGCCAAGCTTAATGCACTACACATTAAGATTGAAGATCCTTTCCTGGTTCACTTTGCCTGAAACTCCCTGCAGTACTCTTAGTTGAAGAGCTTTACATTGCTCAAAAGGAAAAGTGGGATTTAAATGAAGTAATTGCAATCTGTGCATGAGGAGCAAAACATTCGACAAGAAAGGAACAAGAAGCAAGGGGCTAGTTGAGTGCTTTTGAAATGTGAAGTTTTTGAACTACCTAAAATTGCCCTTCTCTAGTTAAGATTTTAAAGGAAAACAATTTAATTTGAAAAGGGTAAAATAGTAGTTTAACTTCCATGGTGATAATTAAAGAGTCCCCACGTTTTTGGGGTGGTTATTTTTATTAGTTTTCTTTCACATTTTAAAAATAAAAAATTTCAAAAATAATTTAAAAATACATAAGTACAAAATTATAAAATGCCAATTACACATTCGTAGTTACTTAGTACTACAATCTAGTAGTATTCTTCTTCACTTGTAAGTGAGAGATCATAGATTTTATTCTCGCCAAATATGAATTAGAACCACATTATTATAGTTAACACATTGTAAGACTTAGTCCACTTCCCACCATTTTAGTGTAAATAATATTATTATTCAAAAAAAAAAATTAGCATACTGATTTGAAGGTTAAAGAAATATCATATGTGGTTCCACTTGCATTCTAAACTTAATATGTACCGTCTTTGATGACAAATCAAATGTGATGGTGCATCACTATCAAAATTCTAATAAATCTGGACCGTAGTAACTTAATATTACGGTCTGGTGGTATTCATATTCACTTGTAAGCCAGAGGTCTGTTAAGTTCGATTCTTGCCAAATATGAATTTGAACTATATTATTATGGCTAGCACTGTGGAGAGAAAGCAAATTATGTTAATTAGTCAATTAATGGATTTATTACCTAATTAATCTATTAATGGCTAATTAGCTACATATCCCTATAAATAGCTCTCCATTCTCTCCAAAAACCACTTCCAACTCTCTTACTAAAATTCTCAAACACTTTCTCTCTAAATTCTAACTTTGGCATAAGAGGTTCTTCGGTCAAAGCCCTCCCATTCATTGTGAGCACATGAGGCTTTTGGCATTAACCAAAGATGTTAATTATTTTGTAAGTGCAATTTTGTCCAAGATCAAGGAAGAAGAAATTTGCATCCACAAGCACAGTATGAGGTCCAACTCACTCTCCACCTCATAATGTTTGCAAGGGGCTAGTTTGAACAAAAACTCGACACCAGATGGGCTAGCATACTATTTAGGATTTGTAGGTTAAAGAAATATCATGTGTGGTTGCACTTGCATTCTAAACTTAATCTGGACCGCCCTTGATGACAAATCAAATGTGATGGTGCATCACTCTCAAAATTCTATGAAATTATGTGATGGATTCAATTTGATGATAAGTAGGCCGGGGCCTCATTAGGCTTAAAATTTTGCAATTACTAAACATGTAGAGAAAAGCAACTATTTCTATATCCAATCCTATAAAATAACGAAAAAGAAATAACAGATCAGGCCCGGGGCCTAATTGGCTTAAAATTACAGAGAAATCTAATATATAGTTCTCCAACAAAATACAAGAAGTAACAAAGAGAACCAATTAAAAAATTAACAAATCAAGTACAAGTATTGATGTCGCAGATCATTAATCACTTGCATTGCAAACTTTGGAGCGTCTTGGATGACAAATCAAACGCCACGGTGCAGTCCATGGTGGAAGACTTCTTCATTATAAGCATCGATTCAACTTTTCCCGTCAACTTAGCCGTGCTGTTGAGAGTCAACACCCCGTTGCTCATTTCACTGCCAAGGTTTGTACCGCTCAATTCACTTGAACTCAAGCTCACCTCAACATTGATTTTTTTGGTGGAAAGCATTTCAGCCTTGCTCTTGGGAATAGAAACTTGCCCAACGGTCGCGCCTTGGTACAAAAACGAGACAATGCCTGCATCATACTTGTATGGACCAAAATTTGTGTTTTTGACTTTGATTTGTGTTGTGAATTTAGTGTTGAATGAAAGTGTTGCTGGGACAGAGTTGAGGCCAGAGGCGGCACTAAGGGGGAGCGAAAGATGCAATTGCATAGGGCTTCCAAAATTTTTTGGTATCTTATATTTATATGTAATAATGTTATATATTAAAAAAATACTTTTATTAGCACTTTAAAATCTTATAGTGCACTTTTATAAGTGTAATTGTTTTTTCTTTCTAAATATAAAAATTTGGAACGCACAATGAGATATTAGGAGTGTTAATAACAACATCTTAAAAAACGATTTTCTTTTCAATTTTATTAATTATAGAATAATGCTATATATTCAAGTAAAACTCTAAAGTTAGAGTTTTTGAAGTTTTTTTTTCTTTATTTGGTTGCTTAAGATTGAACTGTTTTTTATTATTCAGTGAAGATTATGTTTATAACTCTTTTTACTTATTTAATGATACTTGTAAACTTACAATCAGTGAGTCCTAAAGGTTGTTTTGATTGAAGTTATTATTTTCTAGTACCAATATATTATCATACTTTAAAAAAATATATATCTTAAAAAGGGGCCATTTTATAAATTTCACACAGGGCCCCGAAATCTCAAAGACAGCCCTGGTTGATGCCTTGCACATTGATGTTGCCTAGCTAGACCTTTAGGGTTTTAACTTGGGGCTCTTAGAGATTAGTCCTTATCAAAGATAATTTTTAGAATATAACCTAAGAGGTTTTCAGTATTTAAAAAAACTCCTTTATTTCAATGCACCATGACATGTCACCTATACAACTACCAAAGTCTTTACCACTATTTACATGCCTGCCATCTCAAATGTTAGAACTACCTCTTGTTCTCAAATTCTTAACCATCAACATTAGAGAGAGATTTAGAGAGAGAGAGAGGGGGGAGTCCCTTTTTATCCGGTATGGAAATCACGACATTAAAAGCAGCTTGAATTGCACCTGTAATCAATGAAAATTTTCAAATTTTCAAACATGTTGTTTACTCTCGCAAAACAGTATTTCAGTTGTTGTAACCGTTTGGACCCTTGCTCCACAAAAATCTATTTGAAGCTACGATTGTTCGGCTTCCTCGATTTGTTGACTTCGTCAGAACCCACGAATCACTTGTAAGATACTATGTGTGCTTTTCTTTTGTCGTAATCATAAGCTATATGGTGTGGAAAATGTGTTTAGCTGTCATAATCAACACACCAGTTGATACTTGTATAACTTGTTGGTATGGTGTGCATGTATTGGTCCGATAAGTTTCATTGTTTTAGCAAGAATTGATTTTTACAATGCATACCATGTGTTTGTTGAAAGGCTTCTGTGGAGATTTTGTATTTGTAGGTTCTTGTCAATTAGGTCCCCTCCATTCGGTATGGTTAGTTAGGTCATCTCCATTCGGTACGGTCAGTTAGGTACACTATATCGTTTCGTTACGGTCATTTTCTCTACATACAATTAGTTCCTTTCGTTTATCCTTGGACTCATTTTTAATTTATTGAGTGCAGGACTATTAAAAAAAATGAAAGCATTTGAGACAGCGTAAAGATAAATGAGATTGAAACATTGCAAAATTGCAAGTAGAATAGGATGTGAAGCAGGGGGATGAAAGCTCATTGAAAAATAGTGTATTGTGCATCTTAGTTGGGAAGGGAATGAGGATATGGCCTAAAATCATTGCTGGCTGCGCAATGCCATCCTATATTTTTGTACGGTCTTTTAGGTTTGGAATGGTCAGTTAGGTACATTGCGTATGTTTAGGTCTCCTCCATTCAGTACAGTCTATTAGGTCCCCTCCATTCAGTACGGTCAATTAGGTCCCCTTCATTCTGTACGTTCATTTAGGTATGTTGCGTACGTTTAGGTCCAATTGATTTGGTATGATCAATTAGGTTGTGAATTCAATTACTTACGTTATGATGTTTAGGTCTGTTTGATTTGGTAAGCTCAATTTGGGCACACTTTCAAATAATTATGTTTATAGTGTAGGTCCGAACAATTCAATATGAAAAAAGTTGGCACTGTTTGTACTAATTAGGTTTGAATCCACCTGAGGACTTATTTAATCCATTTTGTTGTAATACTTGATGCATTTCAATCATTGTGTAAACCATGATACTTTTCCATATTGTATGAATCCGCAGGTTATAGGAATATGGCACGAAAGAGGAGGAGTGAATATTCATTCCTACAATACAGGTCTAACATGGGGATTTTTGCAGGAGCCTACCAAAAATTTCAAAATCATGTCAAAACTATCCACCTAGAGCTTATGGAAAGGACACCATTTTGGGGTTTGTTCAAGATATATAGAGAAGGCATTGCGACAGATGATGCATGGAAGAACGACTACGATGTTATTGATATACTACAGACATATAATAAGGATCTTAAATGTTTTGTACCTACGTGATGCTTAATGTTTTGATCACTTAGTATTTTGTTGTGTGACACAAAGGCTATCGAGCCCATTTCTTTTGCTGCTGCATGATGTCAAAAACAATGAATTGGGTATCGAACTTGATGTTGTGTGCTTCATATTTTCATAGTTTGCTATTTTAGAATTTTTGCAACTGCATGATGCATATGTTATTGTACCTTCTTATTTTTCATGGTTTGCTTCCTTTTTTTTTTGTCATTTCGGATGTAAAATTAAGCAAAATTTTATTTGTTTATTATTTTAAAAAAAATGAAATGAAAAAGAAAATTGTTTTAATTAGCTGAAATCAAGGGATTTCTTAACCATTGATTACAGTGATACAGTGGAAATGACAAATCTCTAATAATCATGGTGTTATGAGACAAATTAACCATTGTAATCTGCAAAAAACAAGGGATTTCATTAACCATTACAATCAGCCAAATTGTGGGCACAATTAAATAGCCATTTGGTGTTTCATAAAGGAAATTCATAACCATTGTAATAAAAAACATATCGTACTCATTATTGACATTCCAAAATTAATCAACCTTGACCATTGAAATTCACCAACTTAATCATTCGTGAGCCATATACACTGAACCTATCTGACTGTACCTAAACTTTCAAGGGCAACATGGATTGGTGTTGTCATGGATGATACCAAATTAACCATTGTTGCAAGTAGAGAACTTATGTTTGCTTGTATCTCTAAGCTTGACAATGATTTTTACAATAATGGGTTGCCAAGAAATTACAGAAAAGAAAATTAATATTTTCATTCGTACGATTTAGTATCAACACTTGTGTAGGTGCAGTTGAATAGGTTCGGAAAAACTAAAACGAGACACCATTTCATTTAAAAGTAAATCTTTATTCTAAACTCTTTATTAATAACCAAATGGAAATATAGTTCTGGGAGTAATAAAACTAAAATCGCTGAAACAAACATAGTTCTATTGCAAACGATAAATTGAAAAGATAAGCTCTTAAATTTGGGCTTAACATGTGAGAGAATTATGCCACCCGATTCGATGACACCTCCCACATGTTATTGGCCTTGATTGTTCACCAATTGATTTCATCATCTTAAGCTTTGGCCTCCCATATTGTTTTTTGGTCAATGGTGGTTCCACAACAATTTCTTCATGTCCATCAATATCAGGCCTATCAATGTTCGGAATTGGATATATTGGGAAGGAGTAAGAAGACTTGTAGTATTCAACGGTGAAGAAATCTTCAACATAGTCATTAGGATTTCCATCATCATTGATATTCGCAGCCACTGCATGCTTATAGGAAACCCTTTGATTTGCCATTGATAACATGAATAGAAACGATTTTGCAAATCCACCATCACTGAAATGTCATTGTGTACCTCAAAACAGATAGACTTAACCTACTAATTTCCCAATGCCTGCCAACTTCCAAAACTTGATTAAAGCGCTCCTCCATCTCAGGGCATAGAAATGTATTCCAATTGTGTGTTGCTCGGAACCATTCTTTATTCATTTCCATCATCTTCACTCTAATACAATCAACCAATTGATAAATTGGTAAAGATCGTTCTTCACATATCCAAGAATTAAAAGATTCTGCAACATTGGACCACATTTCTCCGTACCTATATAAGGGAATGGTGATTAATGTATGAACCTCATTTCACAACCAAAGATGAAAGAGAAAAATAAAAACCGAAAAATGCACATACTGGCACCTTCAAAAGATGCATTGGACCAATTTTCTTTTAGAAGACTATCCAAGAAAGTTCTCATTATGGATCCATCTTCATCCTTTAGAACCCTTAGGTGCACATCAAAGGCTTCTGGGGTAGGTGCATAAGCACACTTGCAAAACAAATGCACAATATAGTCCCTGAAAATTTTGCCACAACCAGTAGGATATTTACTGAAGGGACATACAGAGAAGGGATTGTGCACAGTTTAGTAAAACTGATGTTATGATATACTAGAGAATTTGGTACAAATTGCCATCAAAATTCTCACTAATGCACATATTAGTAAAACTATGCCACCAAGTTCGCATGTGCGGGATCATTTAAAAAAGAATTCACTTGAGCATTTCATCATACACAAAATATGCATTGTGTATTAATCATATGAACCCCAACACAAATTTCGTCAAAGTTAATCCATGCTTCAACTATTTGAAAAAAGTTAAATTGAAAATTTGAGAGAAATAAAGAACAACATTTTACAATTTACAGAAATTACCTGAACTGGTCGGAATTGGTGCTAAAAACCTGAACAAAAAATAGTCTAGTATGCACGAATCACCAGTGAATAACACAACAACTGCTTCACTTTGATTTTAGACCCAAGAGTTTATATAAGAAAATTCTACTATGAATTGATAATGAGACAATCCAACCAATAACGAGAAACTGATTTTTGGGATCAATATATAGAAAGGAAGCGTGAACATCATCATCAGTAGAGAAAAAAGGGAAAAGCTTCATTGACGCCGAAGATGGAGAGATGAATCGTAATCGATGCAGACAGACATGAGGAATCCATAACTACAAAACGTTTAAACATATATTTGTACCTAAGGGAAATATAGGTAAATTAAAAATATAATAAATTGCTAGAAAAATAATTAAATATGACATGGACTATATAATCTGATGTGAACATGAGTTAAAGGACTATTTTTAGTTTTTAATCTTCAATACTGTATTAATCTTATTTAGGGATTAAAATTAAGTTTTCGAGACCTATGGCGGTTATAACCATCATCTGAAACACGATGAAAATGTCAATATAAATGGCCAATTTAGTTCTCTTTTTGCGTTTCAGCTCATCATTGGATTCCAAAGACTCTGCATCGCTTCTTGTGTAACCATTTGCTGGTGCCAAAGGATAAACCTATTGGTTCTTCTCAGCCATGTTCTTCTCTTTGTGATAAAAGTGAAAAGAAAATTCTCTTAATTTGTCATGTATTATTGCAACGATGACTTTTTGTGAAGCAAATCACCTAACGATAGGTGAAGGGATATATATATATATATATATATATATATATATATATATCTACTAATTAATAAAATCTTATTTGTCAACCAAAAAAAGGTATAAAGACAATTAGTATTCTATCACACAAAAAAAATGATGGGCAATAATGTAATTTCACATGTCCAGATTTTACTGTTTTTTATTGAAGCCTCACCTACATGTGATGTTAAAATACCTCTAATATTAGAAAAAAAAAAACCAAAAACAAAAACCTTCAACTCTCCCTACGTTCTCTCTCTCTCCCTCTCACCTTCTCATCTTCTAAAAAAATGTGTTCATACACACAAGTATGTAGGCAAATGCTAGTATTCTATTAAGAGAAGAGGACTTGTCAACTTTTTTTCCCCTTTTTTCCAATTTTGCCCTCACTTTTGAACACACAATATTGACATGAGGAAGGCAAAATAGTAAATTTGTACCTTTTGACAAAATGACAATCATATCCATATTTTTCCTATTTTACCTTTTTTTTTTTTTAGAAAATAACAATCATATAATTAAGAGAAATTGTTCACACACACAAAGTGTGTGCTTTCTACTAGTATATATTAAGGTACTTTACTGTTTATAAACTTTGATTTTATTCTTTAGTGTCCCACATGATAATTGACACACCCCGTCTCGAAGGAGGGCATGTTGGCCGTCACGTGAGAGTGACGTAACCATTTACACAGTTTGGAGGCTTTAAATATACAATTACTAAGATGTAACACCCGAGGGTGAGTCCTACTTTTGTGAATTCTGTTAGAACACCGTTGGATTCCTCATGGCCACCAAAGCTCATAATGTCCAACACACCTTGATTCTAGGATCGGGGTGTGTCAATAATAATATTCTCTTATGGTGCATAATATCTCCTTTGTAAATTTCTTCAAGTGAATAATATTCCCTTATGGTGCATGATCTCTTGCTATAAATTTTCTAGTGGTGATTTAATTTGAGGCATGCTCAGATTTGAGTTCCCCATCACTACCTTTCTAATTTTCTTCCATGCCAAGTCTACTAATGATATTCTTTCTCTAATCTCTTTTTTTTTTTTTAAATTTTTTTATTGCATTACAGATTTGAAGCACTTTGTTGCAGTGTACTCTTGTGTTTTTTTTTTTTTTTGCCTACTAAGTCAAATCAAGACTATTAATTGTTTTCTAATATGCATCTAAATTGTTTGAGACCAAGTTCAATTTCACAAATCCTCAATATTGTTCCATATGGTATTGTTTGGTACGCAGACGGGACAGGACGGGATAGGAATAGAGGTTCCGTGTTATGTTTGGTACGCACAGGACGAAACATGATGGTTATTCAATTTTGTGTTTGGTACGTGCTGGATGGAACAGAACCAAAAGATTAAATGACTAACTCATCCCTGTTTTGTCTGTTGTTTGGTACAATGTTTATGCGTGGGACGAGATGGGACAAAGGTTTTTTTTTCTTTTTGAACTTGTTCATATTTTGAATACATATATGCTTATCTATGATATATTTTGATATATTTTTTACACTAGCACATGGCTAAAGATATGTTATGCCATGAATTCTATCTTTTATAACAATACGATGCTTAGCTTCAATATGGTTGAAGCTTATCGGTTCAATGATGTGAAGAGGCAACATTCAAACAATATGATAGTATTAGTGTAAAATTATGAGTCTCTATTTTACGGAAGTAGGCTTTCCATACATGTCTACATCTCAGTAGTCTTCAAACAATAAAAAACAATTACAACAATCATTTCAGCAAAATGTCATCAAACTGTCATCAAACAATGAATTGGTAAACTACTAGAATAAGAATGGAAACATATCTATCAAAGGTTATTCGCTTTAACTTATGCCATTATCCATTATGACTGTTATAAAACAAAAACTAAATCCAATAGCTGTTAATTATACATCAGTAAGATCTAAACCAATAATTATGTTGCAATCTTAGCTAACAAATGTCCCACTCAATCAGCAGACATTGAAATTAAACTCCACGGTGTGATCCTGCTTCATTTATGTGTCAAACCCTGAACATGAAATCTCGAAAACTCGAAAAAGTGAGCCAAAAAGCTCTTACCCAGCTAAGATCAAGCAAAAATGGAAAGAACCCAGGTCCTCAAATCCTACAAGGACTCAGCCACATTTGCCCCCCTTCCCCTGATCCTTATCACAAGCCCACAAGACCAAATCTCTCATGCACTCCAATTCCGATTGCAATCCTCCCAAAACCTCACTCACTGAACAACAATACCAACAAGGCAGCCGTATACAAGCACAGAAGGTAAAAGCAATGCAATTCACCACCTCGTAACCATCCTTCTCCCTGTAAAATTATAAGAGGGAATTCCGATACAAGAATCAGCATGCTAACTTGTAGGCATGAAAGTTAACAAATTCAGTTATCTACACCAATATATAGATAACAGATAGATTAACATATATCATAAGCTTCACTGTTATCCAAATTATATGTACACCAAGCAATCCCTCATTTGTATATATCATACAAAGTGAATTCCAATTCCATGTCGTCATTTTTACTCCAGCCCTTCTTTGGCCAAATTCTCCAACTCATATATATAAATAGACAGTATATAGATTAGTCTTTGATAAGCCACAAGCTCGCAACCACAGAAAGACCAGTCTATACCACTCCTTTTTCTTACATTCTTCTTCCTCCTCTTCTCCTTATTTTCTTCCATCTTTCATTTTCTCTACCCCTCCTAACAGACCCAAAAAATCCACAACCATGGCTGCCACTCTCTCTTCCCTCACATTGGGCACTCCATGATATTCCGCCATGCTTGCAGCCGCCGCCTCCTCTCTCCAATGTTTTAAACTCCCAAACAAATTGAACAAAATTAAACAATAGCCCATGTTCTGATAAAAAAAACAAAAATTAAAAAAAAAAAAAAAAACGACAACAACAACAAGAGCCCATGTGTATGATAGTAAATTCATATCATCTAAGCACCATCAGTGATCAGTAAGAATTTAAGAAATCTCAAATTGGAACTACAGCAGCATCCAAATATCACCAGTGGGGTCTTACATTTGTTTGCTCCTTTCTTCATTTCTAATTCAGAAATCTCAAATTGGCATGTTAAATCTATGCACTCGCACTCCCAGTTGCACAAATCTTAACAAAACCCAGTAATTAACACAACCTAATAATTAACAAATTAGCAACAAAAGATAAAAAAGAAAACCCTAATTAATTAAAACCCAGAAAACTTTCAACCGAAACGCAAAACAATGAAAAAAAATTGAGATTCATCAAGCCATCAATCGCATACCTGGGTCAATCTGCAGCACAACAGTAGTGGCTTCGTGCTACTGCGTGTTGGCTGGGTGCAGCCGACACCTACGGGAGAGGATGAGGAGGAAGCCCACGGGAAGAGAAAGGCAGCGGCAGAATGAATGCAGGAAGAAGGAGACGGAGAGGTTGAGACATGAGGAAAGAGACAATGGGAGAGGGGCAATTTTGTCTAAAAATGTTATAATTTTGTGTTTGTAAACACGGAAATTCCTGCGATGAACGAGACAAGAAACACGTGTACAAAATAATATTTGTATTGATGATTTAGGGGTTACAATCTCTTCTACAAATTTAGCCTCTGATTCTATCTTTGTAATGGGTGGATTTGATGTTGTTGATCCAAAGGGCCGTTGGGGCTTGATCTTGGGATAAACAGTTGTGCGGATTTGTTGACGTCGTTGATCCAAAGGGCCGTCGGGGCTTGATCTAGGGATGAACGAATGATGAATGATGAACGCTTTCTTCAAGGGCTGTGGGGGGTGGCTTGATCTTGAATTAGTGGAAGTTCTTCAAGGACCATTGGGGCTTGCTTTTGAATGAGGATTTGATGAAGAATGAAGAGAGCTTTCTTGATCATTCGGGGTTTGCTTGAGAGTTTTGGAGTTTCAAAGCTTCAAGGTTGTGGTGTGAGGTGAATTGGTTATGAATTCGTGTGCTAAAATGAATGCCTTGGCCTCCTATTTATAGAATTCCAAAACTTGATTTTTTTGGATTTAAATAATCAGATGAAATAAATCATTTCTGCCAGGTGTTGACACGTGTCCTGTTTGATGACTTTTCTGATTTATTTTGATTTTTCGTTTAGTCACATGCTATGTATAAAATTTATGTGACACATAAACATTGAAATTTTAATTATTGATCAACATTTATTTTACCGAAATTTCGATGTCTACAAATGCCCCCACTTCAAGGCGCGTCGTATACATGTGCTTGTCACGTGTAGAAGATGCGTTTTGAAGTCCCTTACTGTAGATGTTGATCCAAGGGCTGTTGAGGCTTGATCTTGAACTAGGTTGGTGATTTCTTCAAGGGTCGTTGGGGCTTGATCTTGAACTTTGTTTGAAATTTCTTCAAAGGCCGTTGAGGCTTGATCTTGGATGTTGAAATTGGACCACAAGGAGCTTCATGTGGTAGATGATCTTTTGCTTTGGTAGTGGGTGAATCGGCACGTATTTTATTGCGCTTGTTGACTTTCCACAGCTTTGATCTTGAATTGGTTCGGAGGATTTTCTGGTTTCCTCCAATTGTTGACTTTCCACAGGCTTATTCTTGAACTGGGTTGGAGGATTTTCTGGTTTCCTCCAATTGTTGACTTTCCATAGCTTATTCTTGAGCTGGGCTGGAGGGTTTTCTGGTTTCCTCCAAGGGACTTTCCACAGACTTAATCTTGAACTGGATTTGATTCAAGGGTGGTGGACACTTGATCTTGAATCGGACTTGTAATTTCTTTAAGGGCTGTCGAGGCTTGATCTCGAACTTAAACATGACCACGAGCAATTTCAGGACATGCATGCTTTGAAAGATCAAGGAAGTTCGTAGCATTTTCATATGAACCCTGAGCAGTTTGGTCAACGATATGATCTTCAAGAGTGATGGGCGCTTCTTCTAGTTGGTGACTTAATCTTTAAGGATTTGATTCAAGGGTGGTAAATCGGCATGTGCAGCTCACAACGCCTAGCGGGCCGACCCAAGAATTTGAGGGTCGAAACAGGTCCACCAAACCCAGAGTGATTGCAACCCTAATGATATGAGATACTTTTGATTTTGAAGAAGTAGCGGATGAATCGGCAAGTGTTTTGTTGTGCTTGTCTCAACATGCTTCAATGTATCATTTTCCTTTGCCTTATCTGTTCTTCAGGCAGATGTGGTATTTTCTCTAGAAGCATAAGATGTTGAAACAATGGGTACTTCGAGAGCAGTGCTAGGTAAGCAATCAGGGAAGGGTTCCAAGCAGTTGGTTCCAGATCGGAAGATTGATACCAAGTGTTGTCTGTTTGCTTTCTTTCTCCTTGTCCCGCAGGTAAAAACAAGGACAAAGAAAAGAATAGGGAGAAAGCATGATATGAAATACTTTTGCTTTCGAAGAAGTGGTGGCGATTTGACAGCATTGCACAACGAGGCTTTGTTCTTCGACGATGATGCCGCCAATATGTTTGTTGAAACTTCTCGAGCTTTGGATTCAACTCAGACTCCTTCTACTGGGTTGGTTGATTGTACAAGGAAAGGGAGACTTGATCTTGAAGGAAATCAGCACGATGTCTCCACATGCTTCAAGGTATCATTTTCACTTGCCTTATCTGTTCTCCGGGCAAATATGGCATCTTCTTCGGAAGTACATCAGCAACTGAAGACGAGTACTCAAAAGCAAAGCTAGGTAAGAAACCAGGCAAAGGTTCCAGGTAGTCGGTTCCTTGCCCGGAGTTTGAGTGGAGGTTTCGACATATTGCTTTCTTTATCCTTGTCTTTGCAGGTAAGAACAAGGACAAAGGAAAGGACAGGGATAAAGCATGATATGAGATACTCTTGCTTTCTACCCTGGTGATATGAGATACTTTTTCTTTGGTGTCATTTGTTTGCAGAGGTATTCTAGGAGAGGAAGAAAATTGGGTATTTCGAGAGGCTCTGCTGAGAGTGTACTCTTAGAAATGAGGAAGGGTTTGGCATTTTTGCAGGTCTGCCTTGCTATGGACGGTGAAGGTGGACAATTATAGGAAGTTCTTTAATACCTGTAAAGGTACTATTCTTTCACTCGTGTTGGCAACCATTGAGTGATTGATCAGTATGGCTTCACATGCTTTCTTCTTCATAAAAAATCTTCAACAAATTGCCCGTAATTTCCGCAAAGCTGAGTGTGCATGTGACAGGTGCTGACAAGGCTGAAAAAGACTGGCGCCTCTTCGATATCTGAGATTGGCGCTTCGACAAATTATCCGTGATTTTCGCAAAGTTGAGTGTGCATGTGACAGGTGATGACACGTCTGAAAAAAGCAAGTGCCTTTTCAATTTTTGAGATCGGCCCATGGTTTCTGAGCAGCCCAGCTTTTGAGAAAGCAGACGTCTCTTCGATCTCTAAGCTTGCCTCTTCGATTTCTGAACTCGCCTCTTCAATTTCTGAAGCTCCGTCGAGTGCTGATTTTTAAAGACAGGCACGCATCACATTCCAATGCACACTTGAATTTTCCGCCTGTAGAAGCTCCCTACTTGCACTTCTAAGAACTTGATTTGTCCGACCTCTTCTTTTTCTTCACACCTTCGAAAATGTCTTGCCCTTCTGACCGTCGTCTTAACTTGAATGTCGGGGAAGATAGTGACATATCTTTTTCAAACAACATTTGGCAGCCATCCTTCGTATCTCCCAATGGTCCTCTTACAGTTGGGGATTCTATGATGATGAACGATACAACCGCTTCGGTGGTGGCTAGAAATCTTCTCACTCCTAGAAACACTAGGATACTTTCCAGACGGTCCGACGAGCTGATTGTTCAGGACTCTCTGGCCTACAACGTCCGATGTGCAGGCTCAGTTTCAAACATGGGCCAATGCCTTCTTGCTCGATCTCGTTAGGTTGAGTCGTTGATGGCTGAGGTGGCCAGTCTTCGGCAAGAGGTTAGAGTGCTTAGGCACGAGAATAAAGAGTTGCACATGCTCGTAACTAATTACTCAACAAGCATGAAGAGGAAGCTTGACCAGCTGCAGGAGTCCGAAGTTCGGATTCAGAGTGATCATCAGAGGTTTGTGGCGTTACTCCAGCGGCAACTTCTGCCTTCGTCCTCTGGTGCTTCACCAAGTGTTGAAGCTCCGAATAATCAATCTCTGGTGCTTCATCTTTCTGGAGCTCTGCCGAGTGATGAGGCGCCACCTGATCATCCTTGAAGATCCCTTCCTGTAAATTTGATTTGACTTTTTTTTTTTTTATGTATAATGCAAATTTCCATAAAAATAAATAAAATGGACTTTATTTCTCTTAATGCATTTTAGATATCAATGGACATGCTTTATTTTATTCAGTATGTTGTGCTAAATACAAATAAAACGTATATCTGACTAAAATGCGTTACTTCCTTCTTCTCTTTTTTTTTTTTTTTTTTTTTTTTTTTTACTTCACAGTAGCTGGCACCTTTTTTTTAGTTGGCACTTTCTTTTTGTACATAATCATATTTTCCCAGTGCACCATTTAGGGTAGCTAGCACTTTCTTTTAGTTGGCACTTTCTTTTTGTACATAATCATATTTTCCTACTGCACCATTTTACTTAACAGTAGCTATAGCTGACACTTTCTTTTAGTTGGTACTTTCTTTTTTGTACATAATCATATTTTCCTAGTGCACCATTTTACTTAACAATAGCTAGCACTTTCTTTTAGTTGGCACTTTCTTTTTGTACACAATCATATTTTCCCAATGCACCATCCCATCACCTCTCATTTTGGTTTTTCTTTTCCAGGCACGGGTGGTCGTTTGCACAGTTTACACAGTCACGGACCTGCATTTTGAATAGCCACCGTATTTCATTTGCTTCTCCGGGGACCTTTATATATATATATATATGGGATTGCTCCTTTGCTTGTACACTTATTACATAGCTTCATCCACTGCGTTGCTTGTTGCCTTGCATCGCCACTGCACCATTGTCCAGCAATCCTGCGCTGCTGCTTTTACTTGGTGAGTCACTTGAGTGTATATATATGTCTTTTGAGCCGTGCATGCCATTTCCATCTTTTGAGCCATGCATATATGTATATATATATTTGTCCCATCACCATCACCATTTGCGTCCTTATATATATATGTGGAGGTTGATCGTCTTGTCACCATCTCCATTTTGTGCACTTGTCCCATTACCAAACCATGCACACATATGTCTATATATACATATATACATATATATATATATATATATATATAACGTAATATAATGCTTTTTTTTTACGCACAATGTGTGTGTCCCCACTGATGGATTTCTTTGTTTGTAATGTCAGGAATTTTTTTTTTAAATCTTGAGAAGGCAGAGCTTGACGCCAGGATTTTCGCAAAGCTTTTAAAGCCGTGGGTGTGCTTGTGTAAGAGACCGCAACGAGGTTTCGCTGTGTAGTGCTTTTTGACCACAGTTTTCCCTCGGTGGCGCGTTGCCG